AATTTTCTCCTTCTTCCGCCATATCTTCTATAATTGGGTCTGGTAAATCAAGTGTGGAAGAAGAATTAACAGATTCTCTTGTGGCTTGTTCTTGAGTTTCTCTTATTCTTCTACCCCGGTTCCTCCGAGCTGTTTTTTCAATCTCTGGATTAAATTTTAATTGCTCTGACGATATCTGTTCTCTTAAACGCATAAATCAAAAGAGTACTCAAGCAAGGATTAGCACAAGACAATAATTAAATAAAACTAAAACTGAAAAATAAAATAAAAACAGAAATAAAAATAAAATATTCAATAAGCTAAACAAAGAATTCTCAAAGAACACCGTTCCCCGGCAACGACGCCAGAAATACTTGTTGAATTATTGGCAAGCATACCAAAATTATCAATCGCAGTATAGTATTTCAATTAAATAAAAGTCGATCCCACGAGGAACAGTTTCAATGGAAATTCCCAATTATGCATACGAAGTAGATTAAACAGATTGAGTTTTGCAAATAAGAGTTAAATTGAAATTAAATGACAAAAAACTGTAAATTGTTGAGAAAATATCAATTAAAGGTACTTAGGATTGACTTCCTTCCTTATCCCTCTTTTGTAATGGCTATGTCAATTAAGAACATCAATTAACTTAACAATGTTGATATCACCTACTCAAATCATCCATGTTGATTCCTCACACATGAAATTCATAAGAAAACCTGTTGATTCCTCACACAATTAAGAGATTTTCCAGCATTAGGTTTAGGGTGTTAAGCAATTGATACATTCATTCCATTCCTGGCAATTAACGCAACAAATATTCTTACCGTGATCTAGGGTTTAAGATATATTTTCCAATCAAACCCCAAACATCAAGAATAAATCATTTCAAAGCATAAAGGATAAGAATAACAACATGAAAACATAGATTAATATCTCAAAATATCATCATGATACAAAAGAGTTCAAGGGAAGTGCACCGAATCCTAAGAGAATGAAGTTAGCCACTCATGTTGACCATTTCAATGCTCTAATTGATGAAGAAGTGAAGAATTGATGAATATTAGACGAAACCCTAACAGTAGTCGTGCCTCCTCTTCTCCAAGACTGCTTACTTTCTCAAAACACATCTTATCTTTTTATAAGAGAATTTGGGTCGAGCCTTATCATTCATTCGCTTAACCGTTCTTCTTTTTTTCAAATTTTCTCTAATTAGGCTGACAATTATGCTCCTTACTCTTGTATCAAGATATTCTCAAATTCATCATATATTTAGAAAAATAGATTAGAATTAACATAAGTTAAATGATTTCATAACAATTTAAGGCATAATTATATCAACTTTTTACCATTTAACACAGTGACAATGTAATATTTATGTGTGGCTCTCCACAAAACTTTCTTCAATACACTAACAAGAAAATAATCTGAAAAAAGGCACAGTGCTGAAAGTGTGCTATTTGATATATATTCCTACAATAAGATTGTTGAGATGATTTGTTTTTTCATAAATATTTATAAGAAGATAAAGTGAAATAATTATTTTCTTTAAGTAAAAATTATTTTCACTTATATATATGAGTGTAAACTAGTTTTAAGTATATAGAATTTTTTTTATAAGTTCTTATAAAAAACTTATTAATTAGAGCATAAGACTCAAATTTAATATTATTGATCCATATTCCTTAAACAGTATTTGTGTTTTATTTGGTGAATGTATGATAAAAAGGTACATGAATACCTGAGTAAGTAATTAATATAAATATAGCTTATGGTTTGATGTTTGAAGATTATGATTCATGTTTTAATAATAAGCAATAGCAACTCATGGGCTAATTCAAAATAGATCCTGTACAGCTATGCTGCCTCTGTAGCAGAAAATATCAAAGGAAAAGAAAAGAGAAGATATATGAATGAAGAAAGATGATACACAAATGAAACAACTTAATAGGGTTAAATGAGCTTGAGCACAAATAAGTTAGATAATCTTCTGTTAATAATACCTATTTATTATTCATCTCTGGAAATAAATATAGTTTAAATAAATTATATATGAGAGAGTTAAGAATGTTTTCCACTTTGTAAATGTCTTCATAACTTGTCTCATATAGTTTGGTTGCCACAGATGCTTTGTAAATGTCCGTCATTTATTTGACCCTATATTTGTCGATTGATATATGGTATAGAGGAAGAGATATAATGTTTGGTATGGTTAATAATATTGTTATCATTAGATATGATAGCAATGTGAAAGGAAGAAATAAAATATAAGTGCATTGGAAAATATGTTTATATATTTTTCTTTGTTTACAAGAGAGATTTGTAGTGGAAGTTAATAGTTTGATTGAAAGATCTGTTTAGGTTACATCAACATCATTTGATTTAGGAGAGTGATTAGGTTTTTGGAATATATGATGTGAAAACAGGTGTTGAATGCATGGAAGATGAAAATGACGAAGGACTAATAAAAACTTCAACTTTATACGCAGATAAGCTATCTTCAATTCACCCAAAGCTGTCCTCCCATGATTTGTCCAATTTTTGCCAAATTTTAACAAGTCCTTTTCAGTTCCTGCATTTCTGGATAAGTCATGAAGTGATAATTACATTACCTTAAACAAATCTTGCACTTACATATTTGCCCTCCACATTCGCCTAATTACGTTTCTTCATTGAGTGGTTAAATGCTTAGGGACATAGATTCTTGGTACTGGTCTATCGTTATGTGACACGAGTTTGAAAATGGGACTATAGAGCATAGAAATAAAGAAACATGAAAAAGAAAAATCAACATCCATGTGAAAAGTAAATGTGTTATGGATCATAGAAAACTTAAAATTACTTTAAAGATAATTTTAACCTTAAAAAAAGTGTCTCCTAGGAAGCATCTTTTATTTGATTGGATTGTTGGGGTTGAGGCCTACAGGTGTGTGTGAAAAGATCCATCTTAGGAAGCAACCATCACCATCTAACTTTCACCGCCAACTTTGCCAAATAGATAATAAAACTCATTAATAAATCTAAACACGTATCTCAAACATGTTACATTATTTCACGCATCATTTTTAAACAAACCCAATTTTATTATTTTTAATTTGAATTAAACGTATTCAGCTGTAAATAGTTTATATGGTTATCTGATCACAAAATTCTACTTTATGATAAATTATTTTTCATTTATTACTTTGATTAAAAGTTTAGTTTTAACTAAACTACATTAATAACGCTAGAAAATTACAATTTTGGGACATCACTAAAATGTGTTAACATGAGATAAATCCAATGTTACTTTTAATTATTTGAAAGCTTAGTTTGAGGATATTTGTCACTTAAATAATCTATATACATGGAGGAGGGCATTGCATTTGACTGAAATATTTTTATTGTTTTCCTCTTCTGAACAACATATTAATATTAATTATTTTCCGATTATTTGGCCACCAATAACGTGAGTCATGAAGTGATTAGGCATGTTTATAGAAACTCTTGCATGTTTATTTTTTTTATGTGGTTGGGGTGTAACCATGGATTCAAATATTCAACAACAAAAATATTTGGTTCAACAAATTGAGGAGAAAACTGAATAAAAAATTAAAGAAGCATTTACCAATTACTTGGAGGCAGTGATGATATTAGAATCAGAGCCACGTTTTATCCAGAATGAATCGTGCAAGATATCATAGATGAAGTGTTATGGCGTGCGACGTATTATAACGTGACCCCGTGTCATCATGTTTATCATGTTCACCTTCCACACTCTAGATTATACTCAGACTCATTGGTCACGTCATTCGTTTGAACGTAGAGTGAAATTGTTAGCTTAAAAATCTTCCACCATGAGATTAATTGAAGGAGAATCTCAATTCTCTGCTTCTTACATTTAAAGTATAATAATAAAATATCATCACATACAAGGATTGTTTTACTAACAAAGAGGAAATCAAGGATTCGAGTAACACAATAAAATTTTAAATATATTTTATTGTTTCAAACACTTAATTTCGAAGAATTAGTTTTTAAATATTTTGAAAGAAGTAGATAAATTGAAAAAATAGCATCCTACTGAGTATAGTCTAGGAAAATACATATGATGTATATAGAGTTATATTTGATAAAATTACATGAAATTGTTAATTATATAAGTGATATGGAGCTGGTCATATAAAATTTGGCTTTTAAGAAAATTCATCTGTTAAAGTGAAATTTATTTAGAGTAACATTAAATGTTGTCCAAATTTGACAACTGAAGTATATGAAAGGCAATAGGACATTGAAATTCTTAAAAAATCATTATTATAATGAATAAGTTAAAGATTTCAAAGTTAAAAAAGAATTAAAATAATTGGTTAAATTTTGTAATTCAATTTGTTAACTTCACATTTTATGCAATTCAGAACATATTATTAGTTCCAAATGCAATGTTGGAGGTTTCAATTTTTCAAATATGCGATGTGGGATATCTACAAATTTATAAGAAACAGGTGTAATGGAAGTTTCTTCATATTTAAGGCAGGAACCTGGTAATATAATTTGTTTATGAGCTGTAGCATAATATAATTATTTAGAATGAAAGCAAAGAGGTTAAACTCTAACCACAATGTGAGGTTCTTGGTACACTCAGAAGCTTCAATTACATTTGTTCGAAATCAGTTTTTATCTCCAGAATGGATTATACAATTTTTATAATCGAGAGAGTTGAAGTCAAAGATATATAGTACTTAATTCTTGTTATTCAGATTTCTGAATTTTGTTTTGTCTGATGAAGCTCAAATAATCAACTAAGTTGTCTGATGATAGCAATTTAAATAATTCTCAGAGAAGAGAAACCACTTTTTTATTTATAAATATGTAACTTCATATGGAGGAGGAGGAAAATTATACGAGGACAGAACATTGATAACAATGTTGCTAATCACTTCGATAGCAAATTGCATGGAAGAACACCATCTATCCAACAAAAAAAAGCATGTAAAAATTTGTGGTGCTACCCTTTGCTACTGCTGATATCCTCGACAGACTTAAATTATTTCTTTCAGAGAAGGTTTCAAGTACTGTTCCCAGAATATACCATATTCAAATGTGTTTCCGGCAACTTTCTTCACTTCAACAACATACAAGGACGATGTAATTTCAAAAATTTCTGCATCTATAGTCAGTTGACCTTTTATCCCTGCCTTGCATCCCTCCAATCTAACAACCCCATCTTTCTTTAAGACCTTAAATTTATTATCAATCTGTGCTACCTCTTCAAGCATTGATACAATAGTTGAAGGTTTTTCCCTAGTAGTAAATCTTATCATCTGTCTTTCATTCTGATCATTTTCAAACAAACCAGAAAGATCTAGACCTGATGATAGTGATATCAAATCAAATGCATTGAATCGATATAGCTTCAAGGTGCTTTCTTCTTTAATTGACACTGGAGGGCTATCTGAATCTGAATCTGATGAATCAAATGCAGACTGAACATCCAAGATATCATCACCATTTCTAGGGAACAATGGTGGCAGCTGAAATTCTTGAATCTGCACATACCCCTTTCTAAACCAACGACTCTGCACGATCTTAGCAATACTAATTCTCGTCCTTGAATTGGGATCAAGGATCCTATAAATAAGCCTTTTCACATCTGGCGAGAACCATGGTGGGAACAGGCAATCTGCTTTGATAATCTTCTTATACATCTCCATCAAATTCTTAGCATTGAAAGGAACAAAACCTGCCAAGAGAACGTAGAGAATCACCCCACAAGACCATATATCTGCCTTGGCTCCATCATATCCTTTTTTCTTTATGACCTCAGGAGCTACATAGGCTGGAGTTCCACATATTGTGTGAAGAAGACCATCATTTTTTCTGGATTCAACCAATGCACTTAAACCGAAATCTGTAATTTTGAGGTCTCCATTTTCATCAACAAGAAGGTTCTCTGGTTTGAGATCACGATGATAGACCCCTCGGCTGTGGCAGTAATCAACAGCATCAATTAGCTGCTGGAAATATTTTCTCGCAACATCCTCCCCCAACCTCCCTCGGGACACTTTATCGAAAAGTTCACCACCTTTCACAATTTCCATTGCAAAATATATCTTTGTCTTGGTTGCCATGACCTCATATAGCTGCACAATGTTGGGGTGCCTCACAAGACGCATCACTGAGATTTCGCGCTTGATTTGCTCCTTCATACCTACCTTCATAATCATCTCTTTGTTAATAACTTTTATGGCTACGCTCTGGCCTGTGTTCAAGTCCCTTGCATGGTAAACCTTGGCGAAATTGCCTTGGCCAAGGAGACGTCCAATCTCATACTTTTGCATCAAAACTTTTTTCTCCATTCCGCCTGATTGCTGAATGCGGAGGAACAAAGATAGGGTAAGAATGATGGATTAAGAGCCTGAGAAAGAAGTGAGATCACTGAGAAGTAACACATAAGATTGTCTTGCTATAATGCTCTTCATTTTGTCAGTGAGGCATTATAGGAGAAATCAAGAGAGGAGTAGGAAAATGTGACGGCTTAGGAAGTTGGGTGGAGGAGCCACCTTTGGAAGGGTGAGGGGTGTTCCTATTGTAGATGAAGATTTGGTAAAATGGTTACCTGTTTGAGAGGAATTTAAGCTAACCAAACACCAAATCAAGGCCCTAATGAGTAGTGACAATGTATAAAAATAGTGAAATAAACATCAATACACGGAATGAGTGTGTTTATTTCGGTCTTGTTTTAGATGCGTGTGCAGATCAGGGACATAACAGTATTTACCAAAATTACTATCACATTCACGTCAACAAATTGAGGACAAAAAGACTACCTATCCTACTCATTCTTCTGTTTCAAATTGTACAACCTGAATTTTGAACCCTAGCCATATACCAGCTCTTTCCAGTGTTACTGCATATGGTTAATAAAATTATTGAGCTAGATTATTTTTTAAGTTTTATTCGTAAATTAGTTAAATATAATTACCAAAATAAGTAAAAACAATACGAAACATGTTTGTAGAAACTTGTTATTTTAAGAGAAAAATAAAATCAAAATTTCAAATAATTTTACTTGTGAACTAATTTGTAAAAGTTATTATTTGTGATAAAAATTAAAAGAAAAAAAACTTCTGTTTATATATATATATATATATATATATATATATATATATATATATATATATATATAATCCTTGTTATTATCTGTTAAAAGTCCAAAAAAGTTTCTTGCAAACATATATATTTCCAATTGCTTAACAGGGTATTAATATTACTTTTAAAAGGTACACATGTATCAAATTAACTATTCATGCATTAATGGACACATTACAAACATGGGCCTAAACTCTTAATATATTCTTTTCTTTTAATTATATTTTATTGTCTAAAATATTAATATATTTCAAATAATTGGTTAATAAAATTTATAAAAATTACACATTTTTCTCTTCAATTAAATAAAACTATTCGAATTATGCTAGACATGTAACATGTAATCCTTTAAAGAAACAGCTATTTAAAATTATAAATATTCAACTAGTATGGCAGCATAACTGCGGACACACATCAGCTTAATACACATTCTAAGTTTTAGAAAAAATTAAAACAATGCATAGTTAAGAAAACACATCATATTAACGTATAATCCATATTACATAAAAATTGAAACAATATAACTATTTACCCACATAGGAAGTCATTTATAGGGCTTTACCCACATAAGAAGTCCTTCCAGAGAAGGCATCATATTAATATGTAATCCATATTATATAAAAATTAAAAAATATAACTTAATAAAAAATATAACTTCATTTGTATTACCTATATAGGAGGCCCTTCCAGAAATTCTAAAAGATCTAAAAGCTAAACTCAGGTCAATGAGAGGGTTTCAAAATAGTTTTCAACCAGCACCGCCTCAGTTAATACTGCGTCATTGCCCCCAAGCGCAAAGATAGATACTTAGACATAATGTGTGTCATCATATATAAAAGAAATTCAAATTGTTGAGACTCGCACTACCTATGTGAAACTTGATCAAAGCAGTTGCTGCTGGGAATATTTTTTGCCATCTTCAATGAGGATACTATAAAAAAATTTACTACCACCACAGTAAAACTATTGTTTTCATGCCATTTTTCCATAATTGTTCTGTTGGTCATTCCTGATGAATATGGAGGAAAAGAAATGATGGCATGTTTCCAAGAGTCTCTAAAAGGAATGAAAACACTGAACAGTGGAACAGAAGGTTGCATTGGTCACTTTTCTGCTATTTTTTTTTTTTTTTGGCAAAAGTAAATAGTATACATGTACACAACGAGAAGTTTGCACTGGAAAATTCAGGTAGCAGAGTCATACAAAGTTACAAGATATATGTCAAAAAGATACATCAAAGAGATACAAGGAAGATGTTACGTTCTAAGCTCTAAGATATTACATCAATATGAGGATACAAGTGAAACATAATCTTATAGATCTGCCTCTTGATTTTTACAAGGATTTTATTAGTGTTGAAAACATTTTATTCAAATGCTTTGTTGTTTCGGTACATCCAAATCAAGTAAACAGTTATCGCTAGTGCAATATGCTTGGCCTTCGCTTGAATTCCAGTACCTCTGGCGTTGTACTTAGGGATGGCAAAACGGGTCAGCTCACCCCGTTTTGGCCCATCCCGCCTTTGGCCCGCCAAAAGCGGGGCAGGCTGACCCGTTATAGTCATGACGGATCGTAGACCTTAGCCCGCCCGCCAAGGGGCGGTTAGTGGCTGGCAGGTTGGCCGCCATAATTTAGAAAAAAATAATTTATTTTTAAAATAATTTTTTTTAATAAATTTAATAATAAGATTATTATTTGTTTTTCAATAATTCAATATATATATATATATTATTTCAATTTAATAATATAAATCAATACATTATTTTAAGAAATTATAATTTAGAACAATAAATAAATTTATTATATAAATCAATACATTATTTTAAGAAATTATAATTTAGAACAATAAATAAATTTACATAATAATAAATATATATATATATATATAACGTTAAAACTTATAAAATTTATATTTTTTATATTGAAAATTTCAAATACCTATATCTTTTTTATTTGATAAAACTTCATATTATTCTTGGTTGAGTAATTCTTACACCTTTAATTCAAGTCATAAAGATAAAAATAATCGAGTGTTTAGGATGAACAAGGAGAACAGGAGAGAGAAGATTATGTTTCAGTAAGGAGAATATTTTTTGTGAGAGTGAAACTTTTTTAATTCTCTTTTTAAAATTTTTAACTTTATATATTATCTTTATAATTAATTTTATTACAATAAAAAATTATTTTTTTATTAATTACGCGGGTCGCGGGCTAACCCGCTCCGTCCCGCCGATTAGCCCGTCGAGTTGGCGGGTTTGGCGGGGCGGGCCAAAACGGACTGGTGGGCTGAAAATACCAACCCGCCCCGCCATATTATGACAGGCTGACGGGCCGGCCCGCCGAGCCTAGCCCGTTTTTTCATCCCTAGTTGTACTTGAGCCACCTGAATGCTGCTTTGAAGGAGTTGTGGCCTCTGTTGTCGCTCAACCAATGGAGAATATGCTTCCAGATTTTGCTGGTAATTTGGCATTTGAAGAAAAGGTGCTCAGTGGTCTCTGTCGCTCTCCCGCATAAGAGACATGCAGGGTCTTGATCAATATAGGTCACTCTGTCCTTTGTGAGCAGCTTGTCTCTGGTGTTGAACATTCAAGGACTTGATGTTGCACTTGATGAACATGAAGATTGTTGATTTTGATGATGATTTAAGAACTCAAAGACTTAGAGTGTTGAAGACTTGTTTTTGTAGTGTAATAACTCTGTTTTAATTAGATTGAGTCTGTAATTATAGAGTTTGAGATAGCCGGTACATAGTCTACAACTTAGAAGCTTCAAAAAGCCCAAATATATCATCCAGGCTCGGCTTTAATCGATTATATAGGGAAATAATCGATTAAAACAGTGAGAAAACCATTTTCAGTATATACTCACTGTTTTAATCGATTAAAACATCAAAATAATCGATTATTAGGTCAAATAATCGATTAAAACTTTAAATAATCGATTAAAACAGAGAGGTTTTGGGTTCTGTTTTTTTGGCTCTGTTTTAATCGATTATAACTTCATTTAATCAATTATTTCAGTCTGTTTTTTATTTTAAATTTCAAATTAACCCTCGAAAACCCAATTACCAAGAACCCTAGTTTCGAAATCCCCAATTTCTAAACCCTAATTTCCCTACTTAAACTCTCCTTTGACACTCAAAAAATAAGAACAACATTTTCCATACAAAAGTTAAGTGCTGTGAGTGCCAGAGAACTGTTTGTTGCAAGGAAAGGGGGCTTTCTGAACCTGGTGTGGGCTAGAAGCGATAAGAATCACTAAGTGGAGTTCTTAGTGGATTGTGTGTTGTGCCGTCTCTGGGAAAAGTTGTTCATCATCTCTTGTGGATTTCAAGAGAGGTGTATTCTGATCTTTATCTGTTCATTTGTAATCTGTTTGTAACAATTTGTTCTTAGTGACAGCGTTAATCCTATTTTGAGTGATTAGCAACTGGACGTAGGGTCTTTTGATCCGAACCAGTATAAACCTCTTGTGTAATCTTCTCTACTCTTCTCTATTTACATTTACGCAGTTTTTAATCGGTAAAATTTGGGGAAAATTTTGAAAACCTAATTTTTATTAAGAAACCAATTCACCCCCTCTTGGTTTTTGTCAGACCACGCGAACATTCAGCTGCGCGATTCTAACAAGTGGTATCAGAGCTTGCTTTGATAGTCATTCAAATTTTCGAAAATGGCCGGACAAAATCAAACTTTTTCCGAAGGTGCGTCTACCAACAGACCCCCACTTTTTGTGGGTCAAAATTATCCTTTCTGGAAGGTACGTATGCAAATACTTTTAGAGTCTGTTGATAGGGGCGTTTGGGACGCAATTTTAAACGGTCCATTTGTTCCTAAAATTACAGAGAACGGTGTTGACGTTCTTAAACCTTTTGATAGATGGACTGCCGAAGAAAGTCGAAAAGCACAATTTGATGTTAGGGCTAGAAATATTATTTCATCTGCTCTAACCCTTGATGAGTTCTACAGAATTTCTATTTGTAAAAGTGCACAGGAAATGTGGGAAATGCTTAGAGTAACCCACGAAGGAAGCTGACGACGTCGAAAGAGCGCGTAAAAACTCCTAATCCAAGAATACGAGATGTTCGGATGCAACCGGCGAAACGATTTTCGACGTTCAAAAGCGTTTCACTCATATTGTGAATCATCTCACCGGATTAGGTAAAGTATTTGACGTTGATGAATTAAATGTTAAAATTTTGAAATCT